TATAAATATTTATTATGTTAAATTGTTACATATAAAAATATAATAAGTACAAAATTACAAGTGACAAACGTTTAGTCAGTTTGAGGTCACGTGACTAAGTCAGTTGTCCAGCCTGTTTTGTATGGTAGTCCGTCGGCTTCTTGTGTCCAGGCTGTGTGGTTGTATAAGAGTGTATTGGCATGTGTATCTTACTATACAAATTATGTACATAGACAAGCTTGAACATTAAAGCATCTCTTATACCGAGGTTCAGGTACGTCAGCTGTCAAGGAGGGATGAATGCCATTAGAGAGAGCATCACCATGAGCGAGTCGTTGGGGTCGGGGTCATTGGTGTCAGGGGCTGTCATGAGTCTCGCTGACACGGTCGTCGAGGCTCGGGTCGTGGTGTCTGGCAGTGGCACGTTGGTTGTGAGGTCGCAAGGACACCCATGTGCAAGTCAAAGGTCGTGGTCGTGGTCGTTTAATGGACTGTGTTCGTCCGCTGAGGCCAAGGTCCAGCCCGGCCCTCAAGCGGATCGTAACAATAATAATGAATGAAATAAATAACAAATAAATAACAAAGGAAATGCGTAGTTCTGAGACATCGCCTTTTTGTAACATGACGTCACGCTAGCGGCATTTCCTGCGGGAGAAATGGTGCTATCTAGTCGTACTTGGTGATAGCATCGAGGACAAGGCTCGTGAGGCTCTGCACGGCGGAGGTGTCCCACAGGGCGCGGGCCTGGTTCACGTAGCCGCTGTAGGAGTCGTACACGTCGTCGCTCTCCCTGCGCAGGAAGCCTGTGACGTCAGTGCCGATCAGGGTCTTGAGGTCACCCTCGCCGCTGACGAAGTAGACTGAAAAATAAGGAAAAAAAGTGTTAGGCATATGATACGTACGGAAAAAGACATTCGGTAAATAATACGCATGGAAAGTATCATAACACGCATTTCCTAAGCACGAGTGACCGATCGAAGGCGGACTTACTGCCGAGCATAGCGAGGGCGATGATGGCGAGGACGAAGTTAGCGATTTCCAGGGGCTTGACGAGGAGGCTGAAGAAGGCGGCCTTGATACTGGACAAGGCGGCGAAGGCGGTTCCGAGAGCTCCGAGACCGGCAGCGGCACCTCCCAGGCCAGCGGCAGTGCCTCCGAGGGCGGCGGAGAGGTCCACGGGGGCAGTGAGGTTGAGGTTAAGGTTGTTGAAGAAACCGCCGATGTTGCCGAGGCCGAGGAGGAGCTGGCTGAAGGGGTCTACCGTGCCGATGGCGATGGAGGTCGTGTTGAAGGTCTGAAAAGAGAGGCGCCGTTGGATTCATGGCGATTCGAACAGACTCCTTCGGTCTATCCCTCTGTTGGTTTCCCTATCTATGTCCTTCAGTATTAAACACGCACGCAGAGATCGCGACGGACTTACCCTTGAGTCCAGCTCCTGCAGGGGGTCTGACTCTGCTTCTATGGCTTGCGTGACGGAGGCAGTGCCTACCAGCAGTAGGGTTAACCACACTGGACTCATGACTCTGTAAAAGAAAAATACCTTTATTATTATCAACACGTTATACGTAAATATATCCATACAAAAGAAATGAAAGCCAACAACTAAATTCCAACAAATTATGTATCCTCCATGCCTACTACTACAATGTTCCAAGATAAACGGAGACTCTTCAAGGATGCCTTCTCCAGTAAGCTCCGGAAGGCGACTGAGCTCCGTGGAGTCAGCGAGCCGATATATGTAGTCGCCTTCGCTCCCCCCCTCCCCTTTCTCCCTGCCCCTCCCCCTCCCCCCTGAAGCGCGCCCGTGACCGCCATTCAAGATCATGTCCTTGGCTTTTTAGGGTTTTGTTTTGAGAGTCCGCCTACTCCCGGCGTTTTTTTATGTTATGACTATTAGGTTTGGGTTTGAGCACTAATATCTTTGTAGCTATATATATATATATATATATATATATATATATATATATATATATATATATATATATATATATATGTATGTATGTGTGAATATATAGCCTTTTACCTATGTCTACTATATCAATATATATAATATATACACACATATGTATATATATATATATTGTTACAGATTTATACTTAGAATTTTCTGAATATATAAAAACAGTAACCATTAAAGTAAATAATGAACACATATCGAAATAATGATTTTTCTTTCCTTTTTCTCGAAAGACGTATTCCCGTATAGAACCTAAGACTCGTGGACGTTATACTCACATATATTTCTTCTACGGCAGCGCACACCGACGCTTTTAGACAGGACTAGCTTAGAGGGACTGAGACATTGGCAACTGAAACACCTTTATATACCTTTCGGCCGCGCACTCCTGACCTGGTAAGCCTGAGTTGCCGACTAAGCTTTCTCGAGCGCTATTTTGACGTTGCATATCGCTACCTCTTTTCTTCCTTTTGGAGTTTGAAAAATATTTTTTCTGGTTGGTAGGCCTTCATTCTTTTCTTTCATTTTCAAATTGTTTTTAAAGAAGCTTTATCGGCTTTGATCCTTTTCATGGAGTGTTTATTGAGGATCATGTCCTATACAATGTGCCGGAGCGCTGACCTACAGATGGCGCGCCTTGCTGGTTGGACATAACACGCTCAGGTGTTCCTCCCTCTTCTGCCATAACTTCTTTTCTCTCTGCTCTTACTCCCTTCTTCTCCTCTTTTTCTCGTCTTTGTTCCCTTTCCTTCTACTTTGTCTTTTCTTTTTCTCCTTCTTTTCCTCGTTCTCTTCATCTTTTTCTCCTCTTTCTCTCATTCTTCTTGTCTTTCTCTGCTCCCTCCTCGGCTTGTCCCTCTCCTTCTGTCTATCCCCTCTCCTCCTTCTTCCTCTCCTCTCTCTCTCTCTCTTATCCCTTCGTTACCTCTTATCCCTTCCTCTTACTTCTTCTTCCTTGTACTCATTTTTCCATACACACAGAAAAGTGTAGAGTCACGTGTTACATAGTTAATAAGCTTTCACGGAATATATATATATATATATATATATATATATATATATATATATATATATATATATATATATATATATATATATATATATATATATATATATATATATATATATATATATATATATATATATATATATATATATATATATATATATATATATATATATATATATATATATATATATATATATATATATATATATATATATATATATATATATATATATATATATATATATATATATATATATATATATATATATATATATATATATATATATATATATATATATATATATATATATATATATATATATATATATATATATATATATATATATATATATATATATATATATATATATATATATATATATATATATATATATATATATATATATATATATATATATATATATATATATATATATATATATATATATATATATATATATATATATATATATATATATATATATATATATATATATATATATATATATATATATATATATATATATATATATATATATATATATATATATATATATATATATATATATATATATATATATATATATATATATATATATATATATATATATATATATATATATATATATATATATATATATATATATATATATATATATATATATATATATATATATATATATATATATATATATATATATATATATATATATATATATATATATATATATATATATATATATATATATATATATATATATATATATATATATATATATATATATATATATATATATATATATATATATATATATATATATATATATATATATATATATATATATATATATATATATATATATATATATATATATATATATATATATATATATATATATATATATATATATATATATATATATATATATATATATATATATATATATATATATATATATATATATATATATATATATATATATATATATATATATATATATATATATATATATATATATATATATATATATATATATATATATATATATATATATATATATATATATATATATATATATATATATATATATATATATATATATATATATATATATATATATATATATATATATATATATATATATATATATATATTGTTACAGATTTATACTTAGAATTTTCTGAATATATAAAAACAGTAACCATTAAAGTAAATAATGAACACATATCGAAATAATGATTTTTCTTTCCTTTTTCTCGAAAGACGTATTCCCGTATAGAACCTAAGACTCGTGGACGTTATACTCACATATATTTCTTCTACGGCAGCGCACACCGACGCTTTTAGACAGGACTAGCTTAGAGGGACTGAGACATTGGCAACTGAAACACCTTTATATACCTTTCGGCCGCGCACTCCTGACCTGGTAAGCCTGAGTTGCCGACTAAGCTTTCTCGAGCGCTATTTTGACGTTGCATATCGCTACCTCTTTTCTTCCTTTTGAAGTTTGAAAAATATTTCTTCTGGTTGGTAGGCCTTCATTTTTTTTCTTTCATTTCCAAATTGTTTTTAAAGAAGCTTTATCGAATTTGATCCTTTTCATGGAGTGTTTATTGAGGATCATGTCCTATACAATGTGCCGGAGCGCTGACCTACAGATGGCGCGCCTTGCTGGTTGGACATAACACGCTCAGGTGTTCCTCCCTCTTCTGCCATAACTTCTTTTCTCTCTGCTCTTACTCCCTTCTTCTCCTCTTTTTCTCGTCTTTGTTCCCTTTCCTTCTACTATATTCTCTCTCATTTTTCTTCCTCTTTCCTCTCTGTCCTTTCTCTCTCTCTCTTCTATCATATCTCCTCTACTTTCTTCGTCTTTCATCTCTCTCCTTCGGTCTCTTCCTTCTCCCACACTCTCTCCTTCTACCTTCTCTCTGTTTCATCTGTCTCCTCCTTTTCCATCCTCCTCTCTGCTTCTCCGTCCTCTTTCTCTTCTCCTTTTCTCTCCTCCTTCTCTCTTTCCCCAACTCTTTTTCTCCCTTCTTTTCTCCTCCCCCCCCCTCCTGTAATCTCCTCTTTCTTTTCTTCCCCCCTTCTCCTTCCTTTTTCTCTCCCTTTTCTTTTCTCTCCTCCCCCCCCCCCATTCCTTTCAGTTCTTTACAATTCAATTCTCCCTTTGTATTTCGCCTCCCTCTTTCATCATCACCCTTCCTTTGGCATCTCTCCATCTCCCTTACCATTTCCTGGTCTCCGTCTCCATCTCTCGCCTTTTAGCAAACTCTCCATCTCTCTTAGACTCTCCTCATTTTCTATGCCATGGACTTCCCTCCTTTATCATTTCCCAGACTCCATTAGCGTATCTCTGTCCCCCGCCCCCCTTTGCATCTCTCCATCTCCCTTCATATCTCCTTTAGCCTTTTTCTGTCTTTAGCATCTCTCTCAGCCTCACCCAGTCTCCCTTCCGCTGTATCTCCCTTAGCCTATCTCATCTCCCATTGCCGCGAGCATCTGGCCATTTCCCATGGTAATTCTCCTTCTCCCTCAGCATCCCCGCATCTCTCCATCTCCATCTAGCATCCTTCCCATCTCCCTCAATATCTTTCCCCATTTCCTCTTAACATCCTCCCAATCTCCCTTCGCATCCTCCCCACATCCCTTAACAGCCTCCCCCATCTTCCTCAGCATCCTCCCCATCTCTCATCTCTAGGCATCCCCTAAACACATTCTTTTCCCTCCCCACCCCACCCCACCCCTCCCCCGTCCGCTCCTCCTTCTAGAGATGACCTACAGACGCGAGAGGAAGAGAGTGTGTATTCCCAGACTCCAACTCTTTCCCCGAGTGGATAACTGACACACAGGCACTCTCGTCTCAAAGGGTCGTTGCCACGCACTCTTCTCTCGCATGTCATATTGTTAATTCTTTCGTAACTTTTCTCTTTGTTTGGCAAGACGTAAAGTTGTGTGGACTTTACTGCACATGGCAACGTTTTCTGTCTAGTCATTGGTGTAATAAAAAGGAGGTTTAGTAGGGTGGGTGTTTTTTTTTTCTCTCTCTCTCTCTTTCTCACTCTGTCTCTCTCTTTCTCTCTCTCTCTCTCTCTTTCTCTCGCTCTCTGTCTGTCTGGTTATCTGTCTGTCTCCCCCCCTCTCTCTCTCTCTGTGTCTCACTTCCTCTCTTTCTCCCTCCCTCTCTCACCTCCCTCTTTCTCTCTCTTACTCTCTCTCTGGACTCGACGCCAGATCCCATCTTAGCATGCAGAGCAAAACACAAAGACACTGGTCCTAATTAATAATAAATACTTCATTAAACACAAAGTACGTTTTTGAGGTCCTCATCCTCGAACAGAACAAGGAACGCCAAGTAGGACACAATATGAATGATTTCCTGTGCAATTCAACACGGTTTCATGATGTTTAGCTACGGGATCCAAACTGTCAGTCTCTCTCCAGCTGATACGAAGAGGTTATGACCTTTGCATCACAAGGGAGGAAGGGGGTAAGATTTTTTTCCCTTTTTTTCTTCTTTTTTATTCCTTTTCCCTCTTTTTGCTGTTGGTGTTCTTTAATTGCTCATGTTATCTCGGTCATTATGTCTCGTTTTAAATGGGCAAATTTCTGCCGGATGTGTGTGAGAGTAATGAACATCGTTTTATATAGTGTTCAGACGTCATTAAAGTATCATGAATTTGTCACATTCAGTCACGAGTAACAGCATGTTCAACCACGCTTAAGTCTCGCTCTCTCTCTCTCTCTCAAAAAAATAGAAAGAAAGAAAAAAGAGAGAGAAAAAAACATAGGGAAGGAGGGAAGAGGAGAGAGAGAGAATAAGTTATAAATAATTTTTGTCATTGTTCATACTGGTATTTTTAGCAAATTGAGAAAAGGAAAAGGAAAAGGGATGTTCTTTTATTCATACAAAGACTAAATGGAGGAAAGATAGGAAAGGAAAAGAAAACAGAGGAAACTATATTATTTATACAAAGAGAAAATTGGGAGAAAGAGAGGAAAAGGAATGGAAGGTAAAAAAAAATATACCGTTTATTATCTATACTAGAAGAAGAAGAAGAAAAAGAAGAAAAAAGAAAAAAAGAAAAAAGAAGAAAAAAATATATATTAAAGATATATGTAAATTAATGATGAGAATCTCGGAGACAAGGGCAGAGGTTCGTGACATTTTCTTTTAAGAAGAAGAAAAAAAACCTTGACAGTGACCCCGAGTGCACGAGGAAAAGAGTGATAACCCACCAGTGCCTGGTACCCACGACCCCCTTGGCCCGTCTGCTGGGGGTGGAGGGGGGAGGGGGTACGCTCTTAGGGAGGGCCTCCTGCGACCTA